GACTTCAAGTGTCTCCTGCGAGACGAAATTCTCTTTTGCTCTTGGGTATTCCCCAATCGATTCTTGAGCCGCGTCGAGCGTTTCGCACTTGAAGGTGTCCCATAGAATAACAGGGTCTCCCAGGCTCCTGAGTGCTGTGAAACGACCCGAGAAAGATTCAGCAAACCCACTACACACTCCTCGCCCTCAATCTGTCGACATGAAACACCTTAGGGTAATAAATGGAACGACAGGGAGTTCTGAAGGGGATTAGGAGAGTAGCCATAACTAATCTATGATCAGTTCCACAGAATTCAGTGTTTCAATATACCCTACAGTTCCGGAGGATCCTCCAGCAAGTTCTAACGATGTGATCGATCTCTTTGGCGCTGATACTAAAAGCCAGAAATCCTCAATTTCTTGGACCTAGAAAAGGAAGCTATACTCGCTGCCCACATCAGCTCCTGAGCCATAAAGACCGACCGACATCTCATAGCCAGGTCGATCACAGTCAGATTCCGCATTGTGGTATCTGGATATGATCGATCTGGCTATGAGATGTCTGTCGGTCTCTGTATGATATATATATATATGTATATATATATATATATATATATATATATATATATATATACATATATATATATATATATATGTATGTATGTATGTATGTATATATATAAATACACACACAAGTATAAACATATACACATATGTTCAAGAGAAAGAGAATTTTACCGAAAGGATACTCTGCCACGCCCAAATATCCCGACTTGTCTGTGCCTTCGGTGAAGAATCCGTTGGGCTGCGTCATGAGAAAGGGGCGGAGACCTTCTGCGTCGAGGGCCTCCTTCATGAGCCTGATGGTGTCGATGATAATGATTGGGTCGTACAAGCAATTCACGCCAACTGTACGGAAGGAAGGTGATAAGTAATCTAGTTAAATGTAATATTTATGTTTCTGTGAGAATTTTCATGAAGATTTACAGCTTCACAAAATAATCCCCCCTATTTACATCACACCATACTAAGGATAGGCGTATAATATAACCTTCCTTATATAATAAAATCCCTGACCCTTTCCTCTTGAATAACCAATTTCACATTTAAAGCAATTTATATAAACTAACCAACATTGGCTCCTGCGCGGGCCATCCTAACAGCACACTGACCAGGGCTGACCCCTGCATGGTCACCCTCAGGTCCGATACACATGGTGGCGGCCACTGGTAACCCACTCTTCAACAGTTCTTCGATGACCCACTCAATTTCCTCCACATACATGAAGAACTGTTATAAGAGAGAGATTTCAGAGACTCCTGCAGAAGCGGATATGATAGGCTTCACAATTTAGAGTGAGTTCAGGGGACTATACAAGACTATGTATCTTTCATTTTACCGGATTTCCCTTTCCATCCCAAGTTCTTGCTTCCTACATCAGTTTCACTTCCATTCTATAACCAATTAGGCCTTCAGTCCCCCTCCTAGTCTACCCAGCCCGCCCTCTCTGGACAGACCTCAGCGATGATGAAATCCACTTTATTCTTCAAGAAGGATTTCATTTGCGTCTTGATATTCGCCTGCACCGCCTCCTTGCCAAGTCCCTCAGTGTAGGAGGGACACTGAGTCACACTTCCAGCCACAAGAACGTCTCCCTCTTGGGCCACCTCATGGGCGATCCTACAGGCGTTGTCGTTGATTTGGGAACACTGTTTTGGCGTGGAAGAGTCGGGTTATTCTGAAGGGTTTATGTTCTTTGAGGGTTTATTCTATGACTTTCAATACTTTCGTCTCAACCGGAATTTATCTCAACATACTTAGTTTACCATCTTTATTTAAACTTTTTTTTTCTGCAATCAGAAGGATATGCTATTATTTAACTATATTACGCAACACATACATAAGTAGATGATAACAGTGGAATGTGTGTGTGTATATATATATATATATATATATATATATATATATATATATATATATATATATATATATATATATATATATATATATATTCACACACATGCACACACATGAGCGTGCGTGTGTGTGAATATACATAATGAAAACATCAGTAATATATCTGTTTTAATTACCGTATAGTTTTTCCCAGCTTCATTGCCTCCCAACTTGAGTTTGTCGTCTGTCGAGTAGAAGGTGAGGGTCTGCATGACGTCACTCCCCGCTCGCATGAACTCGCGGTGAAGCTGTTTCACTGTTGATGCAAATAATGAAGTTACATCGTCACATACGCCTATTCTTTCTCTTTCTGCATTCCTTTTCTTACTCTTTTCATATCCCTCCACCCCTCCTTCCCTCCCTTCCCTCCCTCCTTCCTTCCCTCCCTCCCTCGCCTCTTTCCTTCCTCTCCTCCCTCCCCTCCTTCCTTCCTTCTCTCCCTCCCCTCCCTCTCCTCCTTCCTTCCTTCCTCCCCACCCTCCCCTCCTTCCTTCCCCTCCCTCCCTCCCTCCCCTTCTCACTTGCCTCGGGATGTTCGACCACCACCTCTGCTGTCCAGGGCCCT